ACAATTAGAATTTTTGTGCAATTGTAAAGTTGTATGTAAGCAAAGCAAAGCAAAGCAAAGTATGGGGGATCAGACTTGATTATCATGTTGACATCGCTTCTTCCAGTTGATTTGTATTCGGTTTCCTTCAGAATATACTTAATTCATGAAAAAGCTTAGAGTTTTGCAAATTCACAACGTGAATTTGCAAAACTCTAAGCAATCCAGAAGTAGTTTGTTTCAGGTACCACTACATCATTCATGAGTGAGGGTTTGGTTAGCCAATTGCAGCTAATCTAGACGAATTTTGGTGGTAGCAAAAAATGAAATTGATGATGACTTCCAATCCATCGGAAAACTCTACCGATAGGGAACTGGGAACCTTGTAGAAAGACGATCCAGAACTAATTTTTGATCAGGTTCCTCTGCATCATCCATAAAATAGGGTTTGGTGGGCCAATTGCAACTAATCTAAACTCTTAATCCATCAGAAACCTTTGTTTACTGATGATAACTCTTTTTGCTTGAATGAACATGAAAACAAGCAAGCATATCGTTTTTCACCACAACAGTATTGAAGGTGCAGTGGAATTTTCGGGTAATTCAGCTCTGTCAGAGAACAAGAATTTCCATTTTCAAGAGGCTGATTACCAAACTGAAGAATTGAACACCTCAAACACAGAATTTGTACAGAAAAATATTCAGCTAGCGACAATATCAAGATGAAACTCAATTACACGAATACCAACATACATCTAACAATAATGAATCGTCTGAAGCAGAAAAACATTCTACGAGCCACCAAATAAGTGGCAGTTCATCATGGTTCTATGTTGTCAAGATGTTAAACATCAATAACCGAAAACTCATTTTTTGTTTTCACCTCGTGATTCAATTAGAAAATCGCCAGTCACCGTACATGACCGTACGAAATATAAAGGACCTCATTGTTTGTGGGACGAAGACGTATACAAAAACAACCGTGTTGCCAACTCGTAGAGAATAACGAGTCTAGATCCCACTGGTAGATAGTTGAAGCTGTTGGTCAAAACTTCACAAAATCCACAATTATACCAGTAACACAAGCGCCATTGGATCGCCTTCAGAATTTTCCAGTAGAGCTTGTTTATTGTCCTTGAAAAAAAGTGGGTAGCCTAAATTTTCAAGATCAAAATTCAACTAGAACTAGATGAAAGTTTCAAGCTTTTTCGTGCTGATGGTGTACTAAATGTGTGGCATAATACACAAAAATCATGTCAGTTCCAAACATCAAAATTACTTTCCCATATAAAAAGTACATCACCGCAACGGGCTGTCAGTTGAGCAAAGAATGGGCACGTGGTGTCTCGCAAACCAATTTGTGTTCGCAGCAGGGATAAATAAACATCGTCATCGAAAAAACTAAATGAGAATGACGAAACACATTCTTGTCGTTCTGTCGAATCATTAGTCATCCGAAGATACGTTATCGGATTCGTAAGGTGTACTCTTAGCGATGATTACATGCGAAAGAACAACATTCACGATGCGTACCAGCATACCGCACAGAGTACCATTATACTCCAGGAAAGTTAGAAAGAAAAAATTGGATGTTGGTCGATAGTTGTCTATGGATCAACTCCGAAACAACTATGGAAAGAGCAATACGAAGAAAATATTGAATTGACAGTCACGAGACCTCTGGAGCTGCTTATTTACATATTCCTATCAAAGATTCAGCAGTAGTTCGGAAGGAAAAGAAGAAGAGAATACGAGAAAATGTGCCTAAAACGACAAGAAATGCAAAAGGAAGGAAAAGTAAAAACAAGAACCAGACAGGAGACAAAAGAGATTGGGAAGTATGAGAATGAAAATGAATAACAAACAGGAACTACAAGAAAACAGATGAACAAAGAATGAAAGAGATGAAAAGAAGAAGAAGAGAAACAAGAGCGTAAAACAGATCAAAGGAATGCTGCTGAAGCAATGAGAAAGAAAAAAAGAAGGGCGAGAGAGGAGAACGACAATAGAGAAGCGGAGAAAAGTGTTGGTTGATGAGTTGATGGTTGAGATGATTCAATTTTTTTTGGTGCGATGAAGAGAGTCGTGAGAGAAACGTCAAGTCTGGAAATAGAACGAACTAGAAGAATTACAGAAAAAAATCTGTTCAAAAATCCGTTCTGCCGATAAATAGTAGTTCTGTTGTAAAAAACTATGTATGGTAGCTGACTATATTACAGATTCCCAGATTCCACACATTCTTCTGCAGATTCCCAGGCCATAAGGGCAGGATTACCCTGGGAATCTGCAGAAGAATGTGTGGAAAAAACTGGGAGCTGAACCCAAAAATGACACTATGGTACTGACATCTATTAAAACACCTGATGCCATTACATGGTGGACAAAAATAAAGCAATCGAGGTCGACTAGGCTACTGAGTGCCATTCAAAAGTTGTAAAGTCTGAGTGTCATGGGGACCATGAGAATGACCCCAAAACTGCAGCTATTGAGGTTCTGCTTGGCCTTCTCCGAATAGTGAGACAGAGGCTGATGCAGGGGTCCACTCCGATCGGCTAGTCGCACGGGAAAGAAAAACTGAAACTGTTCAACGAATTGAAGGCAGATCCAATATTGGGAATACAGTCTCGGAGTATTTTCTATAAAAGCTTCAAAACTATCAAACCAAGTACTGGAAAAATGGCCCACCAGTTGAAGCGGAGGAAACTTCATATACGGACGGCTCGAAAGTCCAAGAACGAGAAAGGACCAGCAAACGAGTATACGAAATCATAGCTCAGACGAGAATCGGACTCAGCCTGGGACAGACCCCTACAGTGTTTCAGGCAGAAGTTGCCGGTGTCGAACGCTGCGTAAGATAATTGCTCATGAAGAAGATTGAAAACAAAACAGTTGATGCCATCTTAATCAACACCCAGGCGGCAATTTAGGCGCTAAGCTGCGTTTTAGACTTTTCGTGACTTGTAGAAAGAAGATGTCTTAGCGTATCAATGAGCTACGTTCGCCCAACAGGGTTACCCTACCCAAAACACTGAATAAGTGGAACGAACTTCCAGGAAATAATCCAACGAAAAAGTTCATAAAGGAACTCCCGCCCAAATTCACGGAAGACCTGCTAAACCACAACCGAAGCGTTGCCAATGTAGTGGTAGGTTTACTAACGGGGCATTGACGGCTCATGAAACATACGGACACTATGGGCATGGTGGAAGAAACTCCATGCAGGTGATGCCAGTAGAGAAGACACCGCACTATACGTGCTATGTGAATTCGAAGCGGTAGCATCTGGGAATGAGAAACCAGGTAATCTATATGATGGAGCCAATGTCGAGGCTTCAGAGTTTTGTTGAAGAGATCCAGCTGAAGAATGAGCTCTGAAAACCAAGGATCATCACAACAGATCTGCAGAGGTAGCAGTGAAATAGGCCGTGAACCAGCTCCCCTATCAATCTAACCTATCTAACTGGATTTGGATGGAATCACACGTGTCGATAATAACACTTCTTTCAAAGTCCTAATACTCAATATATCATACCAATCATTACTAGTTGGAAGAATTTCACTATAACACAGCTTTTGTTCATTGGCCAGCCATTATAGCTGTAGTGAAAGCTATTCATGGATTTGCTCTTCTGTTGACCCCATAGAAGGCCTTATTCATTAGGATAGATGTCATCGACGTTAGTTAGTCAGATTTAGTGTATTTCGCAATTCACTTTTAGTCAGAATCCTGGTGCAACTTTTACTAAGGTGGCGGTACTATGTTTTAAGGCGGTTGGTCTCCATAACTATTGAAATTTTTGAAATTTGACCAATACGTTATTTCGGAGGTGATATTGATTGTTCTAATGATAACCTAATTTTTTATTCAACTATGATCGCATACATAGGTTTCTGTTTGCTTGCAATTTTAGACCATTTTCACTGGAGCATAACGTATTGTACTTAGATATTCAATTAGGCATTTTGAACAAATCTGCCCGTAGCTGAATGACTATGTTGATTTGTGAGTTAATAGTTCGAATTTAAATATCATCAATCATGGCGCTGTCGAGATTTAAAAACACTTTTCCGAGATTCATCGTGATTAGTTTGGTAGGCATGAAAGGAGAAAGCTGCACATTTGGGAATCGATGTTCTATGCTACGTTAACCTCATAATCAGGCGACTAATTCACTGAGTTGTTTAGAAAAAATATTAAAAATTAGTGAGGATGGACGATAGAGAAACCTCTCCCTTCTGTGTAATCCTGATTAAAATAAACTTCCCGGGACATCCAAAGGAAAATGACATAACATCCGAAGATTAACTGTGACAGAACGGGGTTTTACTCAAAGCATTAAATTTATCGAATTGGTAACAATAGGAAAAAAGTGAAATGACAGCCAAAAATATAGTAGTTTTCCAGACAAAAGACTCAATCAAAAAATAAACGGGACTCCCCATAGTCTTTACTTTCTTAGGCTCGTCCTTTTGAAACAGTTTCGTGGCTCAGCTGAAAATCACCGATGAGATCTTGGCAGATAGAAACGTCGCTGCCTGGTGCTGGATTCAAACTCTTGGGCTTTTTTTTCATCTACTCATGGTGAATGCTACATTGAAAGATATAAGACGAATTTCGTTCGGAAGTCGATATCGAAGTTCATTTTCATATTCCTGGTTTAGTCTTGTGCCGATCCCATAGATGGCCTCTAAGTAAAACGCCTTCACTTCCTTAGGATTGTTATTTGATAACAGTTCAGTGGCTCAGACTAGAAGATGAGACATTGGACCACGAGCTCTGATTTCATTTGTTGAGCTTTTACTATACATGTTTAGGTTTGATGTTTGACGAGTTGATTTTTTTTTCATTTCATCGAAGATTGAAGAACAATAAAACTACTGAATTGTTGAGACGAATTTTATTTCACGATCGCAAAAAAATTATTGGGGTTACACTTTATTGCGACAGCATTCCCGAAGAAAAAAAACATTTTGAAAGCAAAGCAAAATACTGAGGCGGAGAATTGACAACGTTCACTTACCCAGTTAGGTCTTCGGTTTTCTTTCTCTGCAGACTTCGGCTGACGCGGACTCAGTTCATCGTCAACAGAAGCTAATCTATTGAATTTCTGAGTCCGTTCTTTGACGCTGACAGTTTGCACGTCTTCGTTTGGACTCGGCTCGATATTTGCTTTCTTCGGCGTAGACTCGTCCACAACAGACTTCGACCTGTCGGAGTCTCGTCTTCTTTCCCTTGGTGGAACCTTGAAAAATTTGTGAAGTATTTATCAGTTAGTAATCCTAACTCAATCAATGAGGATAGTTCGATGAGAAATTTGAAAACGAGGGAAAACAATTTCCATGAATCTCTGACAACAGAATATACAGAGTCCTTAAATATTCGAGTGTTCGAGTCGTGTTAAATTTTGTCTAGATGGTTCTCCCTCGGTGAAATACAGTAAATTAAATTGAAACTAGCAGGCTGAGCTGTAGAGAAAACTTCAATTCTACTCACCTGTGGAGGGGCATCACCAAGAGATGACATGGAGTCCATTGACAATGTATCCAAAGAATTTGAACTTGCATTGACCGGTGGTGGCGGTCTATAAGGAGGAGGCTGTCTAGGCGATGAAGAAACCAACGACTCATTCAGGGAATGTGATGGGGATACTGGAATACCGATGGAGTTTCGAGGGTCGCAATGAGGGGGATATGTTAAAGGGGAAAAAGATGGAGACGGAGGTGGGTTTGAGGTGGAAGTATATTTTGGTTTGAGTACTAGAATTTTTTCGTCTCCTTCCAACCGAGTGGTAGCGATTTTGTTCACGAACGTTTTGAACCGTTGTCGATTCTCTTCTGGAAAAAAAATATTCACATAAGAGGCGATTCAATTAAAAGAAGTGTTCTCCTGCTTTCTGTTTCCCATCCTTAGTACAACAGATTTCTTTTCAGTTTTGTTAATCAAATCACCATTTTCTGATGTACTAATGACATGGTATGATAGACCACAAACGTTTGTAGATAAAGAGATACAGCACATTATTGGATCATGTTGTGAGTGGATCTAACATCTGAGTAGAAAGAAGGGGCTATCATAATTATAGAATATGAAGTGAACCTGTGGAGAATATCAGAAGAGGACACCAGCAGTGGTCAACAATCACCAATTCTTTGATGGAGAAAAATGCAACTAATGGTGGAAAATGAAACAGATTTACGCCTTTTCATGGATTCATCGGTAAAATTCATCAACTTTCAGATGTCAAACTTCAATTAAATAACTGAAATCCAAGGGACTCTAGCCTACTTGGATTTTTTTGTGAACTTACGTGAAGACGGTATATAGGGCCACAGAGTGTACAGAAAGCTAACACAGACAGACAGATACCTGAACAAAAACTCCAACCACCAGCCACAAAACCAACAAAAGAGAGGGCACCAACAAATGAGAGGGCATCTGAGGGTCTTTTTGAGGAAGACCACACCACCACAGCGAAGAAGAATTTGAGTGGGACATACGACTCAGGAGAAAGAACGTCTAACCCCAGCAAAGCTGGTCGTAGAAAAAGCTTCTTGTTCCTATGCTACAGACCGGATTGGGAGTATCTTAGAGAAACACGACGTGAAACCAATATTTAGGCCAACAAAAACCATCAAATCAAAGTCTAAGATCAGCCATTCTTAGCAGAGAACCTACATTGAAACCACGAAAAGAAGTATGGTTACCCGTTTCTCTGGACAGAAACAGTAGACGAAACACCTGGCTTGAAAACTTGCAAACAACGACCGAGAAACCTGGAAAATAGCTTTCATACAGGTACCTTCGGCCGTGAAAGTTTAAGGTCGTGGAGTGGTACACGTGCGTTGCCAACTTAGGTGCCTTAACGAAACCCAGTGGCGTGCGAAAGTTCGTAAATGAGAGTGCATTTTATTTAATAGTGATGTCATGAGATGGCAGGGTTTACGGCGCCTAATCGCAAGGAAGCAAAGACCAGAAAAAAAATTTGAAAAAGATCAGTGGTAGCGGAAAATGTTACCAACTTTACTACTTTCAGTATTTCTAAAATCAAATAGTAGGATGGTACAAGTTCTGGCCCATGTGTCAAATGCCACCATTATGTTCTAAACGTTGAATCTGAATTGTGCATTATTTATCCGCATCTTATATTTGATTCTTTCAATTTGGAAGACGGAGAGATATTTTGGCCTCCGAATAGTTTGTACAATTTCCCAGGCTATTAGGACGAGTTACTGATACATAACTTAGTTTGTTATATTGAAAATATATTGAATTTACTCAATAACTTATCAGGGTGAACTGGAAGTTTAGCCTTTTTACCTCAGTTCAAAGTTCTGCGTTACAATTTCAATTTTTTGTGTGAATTTTCAGAAAATTTATTGAAAAACTTTGATTTTCTCTGCAAAAAAAACTTTTTTGATGTTATTTCAAATGTTTTCGTCCAACACAAGCACTTCTGTCAAATACCAAAACTGCAACATTCTACACGACGCACGTTTAACAAATTTGACATCTTCATGCTTGTTTTTGAACTTCCTGTGTTTATTTTCTAATAATTTGACCGATTTATTGAAAAGGATAAAGATAAAATTTCATTTCTTGATCATTCAATGAGTTCGAAACATTCCTTTCCATGGGAATACAGAACTAGACATCTTCTGCAGCGTCAAACCTTCCATCACCATAATGGGGAAAACAGCCCACAATGACTTGCCATTCTTAGACCAGATACTCTCTGAGCCTGTGAGTGCGGCGAATCTTGTATCGGTGGAACTAAGAGGCCATTGAAAGCACAAGAGAAATAAAAAGCGAGGAGAAACCATCAAATTGAGAATAGTAGAGCATGTTCGGGTCATTCATCATCATAACATCAAATGGTCCCACGCTGAGATCATCCAGAAGAAAGAACACTGGTTTAAGAGAAAGTTCAAAGAAGCTGCATATATGTTGTCCAAAGATTCATTCAGTCAAGCTAACGTAGAGAACCGCAACATAAGGAAACCTGTGATCAAGTGGAAAACGGTTAAGTACCACTAAACCGGCAAAGAAGAGAGAGGGAGGAAGCGATAGGAGAAATCACTCAAATGACCTATGAACAGTCATCTTTTGGAGAAATAGTCCAGCTATCACCTGAAGACTATTGTGGATACTAACTATCGAAACGTTATGAAGTATCTTTTGGTTTGAAACCTTTTTTTGTTAATTGTTCACATTTTTACTCATGTTCATTTTCCTTTCTTCTTATTCTGAGACCATCTTTTGTTTTGACTACTTTATTAGTTTTATTGTAGTTTCATTTCACGTTTCACTGCCTGAAAAAATTGATTGTTTTTTCATAGATTCCAAATCATATCAGAATCATTAGACAATGGGAGTCCGGAGTAGCAGAATTTCTTTTCTGCTTTCGCCATAGTTATCGATGAATTCAATTCAATATTGTTCTCATGATGTTTCTATAGTTTTCTTAAAATCTTGTAGTGGGAATAACAAACAAAATAAACTTTTCCATATGTTGGTGAATTCAATGAAGTTAACCATTACCTATTTTCATTTTCCAAAAAAACTACAGGTTGGAAAAGAGTACAATATTGCATTATTATCAATAATAACGATTTTCATTAAATAGGTAGGTGTGAATAACTCATTGTTTCAGAATTGATGTTATATTCTCAGCTGTTATTTCATTCGTTTCAGTAATTTAGATCGCTTGAAAAAATGCTTTATGCTATCATTTGTCATCAATTTCATTTTCCAACGAGTTCATTGATTTGAATCATGCATGTAATAATTCTTCTTCAACCTTTTCCAACGACAACAAACTCTTGTTTCCATTCTTTCAACAATCGCGGTTTCGTGAACGTTATCTCTATTCCAGCTACTCCAACGGAAAATAAAATGTCCACCAGGCGGCAGATATCAGATCAAAAATGGTATTACAACGGGAAATGCATTTAATTAAACATTTTTGAGGTCGTAATTGACGGAGGTCTTCCAAACGTGTATGACACCTGCAATTAGTGACGGTTCGGGAACCCACTAAACGACGTCCATTGCCTCTAGCGTTCTGTGAAACTATCGTGTTTTTGGTTGTTCCATTTATCTTCAACAAACGTAGCACTGGTCATTCCACCAAAACAACGAGATGGGTGCTTGTTTTTACAGTTGAAGCGGTAAAGTCGATAAAGAAGGTAGAAACAATAAAAAACCTTGTTTTTGCAACAACTATTTTGGACGTGAGCAATAAATGTCAAAATTGCCCCCAATCTACTGAATTGTCGAATTCCTAGTCGGGTAATTTTGAACCAATCAAAATACATTATATTGACAAATCACACATTGCTTTGAGAAGGAGTTTTGATGGGTCATGGACTTGTTGATGATGTCTCGAGGGGCTGTGGAGGAATTGATAGATTTATGATGTTGTGCACAACGCCCCTTGGTGCTTGTAGCGTAGATTGGACACACTGTGGCAACAACTGGATAACTGTCAGATATGGCAGTCTCTCAGATTTCGGGGTTGACCTTCGTTGAGCTTGGTTGAGAGTTCAAGTGTACCATCTGACTAGCTTGTAGGATATATATGATTGTATTTTTGCTATCCTTCACGGGAATTATTTCTACAAGTCAGGATTGTATAGTGAAAGACTGATTGGTCATTTTGGTTTGGATATTTGCAGTCTGAAACTTAAACTCTTTTGAGGATTTGTGGTGGTTACCGAACTCATTGCGCCAGGTGGAAGGATTTCCGAAATCAGATTCATAAGAAACAGAAGGCCTTCAGTCACTCATCAAGTCTCAGTAGAACTTCCGTGCAGAGCACCGCACACGAAGAAACGTAAAGAACGTGTAGAACACCTTGTTGACAAACTCCCCGGAGGTGTTCAGCTACCTTTGGGGTCCTATTTGGTGATCCATTACTGGTCCATCTAATTGTGCCCTACAGGGTGATCTATCTTGGTGGTACTACAGGGTGATAAATCTCCGCCGTACTACAGGGTGATCCACCTCCGTCGAACTACGGAGTTGCCTAACACCATATACTGGGTGGCCCAAAAGGAGCACGCAAACCAAAATTGGTTTATTTGAATATTTGTGTAATACTGAGTTATTCAAATAATTGTTTGCCCTTTTGATTATCGTTACCTGTTTGATATAGTGATTGCCTTTCTGGCTGAATTCACCGCTAGTTGGAAACGTGTTTGGTTTCATTTGCCAAACGCAAATTGAGGTGTTTTCTTCCTTTTACAATTGCTTGTTGACACCGATGCGCCTACGCCTGAGCGTATTTGTGTGCTGTTGTGGTTTGTGGTTAAATAAACCGCGCTGAATGACCTCTTGTATTGACATTTGAACTTCGCGCAATAGTTTGAATACCGCATTGTTTTCTTAGAAGCGTTGTCGGTTAATCCATGTAAGTTACGTTTACTGAATGAACCATATTGGAAATCTTTATCTTTTATTTCCAATATTAATTGTATGAGTATGGATGTATGTATAAGTATAGATATCTTCTTCCAGAACACAGTTTCCTTTTCACACTTCTGACTCTAATGAGGAACCTTTTTTTAGAAATTTACCGATGATTATTTCAGTATCCATTGAAGTCGCAACTTTCAATCTTGGTCGAACTCAGTTGTGAATGATTTGATATTTTGTAGAGCTGAAAGATCATTAGCAATGCCATCAGATTCTCAAAAGAAACAATACGGTAACCATCATCATTAAATATGGCGGTTCCCATAAGATACACGATAGAAATCTGACACATGAAAAATTGCCTCTGCCGTCACGAAAAAACCCAATAATTGCATGGAAATGGTGGTGTCATTAAACACCAGAAATCGAAGGCTGTGATAATTGAACTAGTGAATAATAGGAATCGCATGCAGAGCAACATACAGAAATATCTAATTATAACTTGACTGTCGCATCATTATAATTATTGTCAACCAATTACTCACAATGGGCAAATTTTAATTATCACATGGGTGCAATCTTTCTATGTAATTGTCTGCAATTGTATTGCATGGAACCGCGTCCTATATTACGTTGCACATGCAATCTTGACAATTGATAGGGAAATGTGTCATGAACATGGTTTATGTATCCTGTGGAAGTTGGAGATAATGCAGTAATTTTTCACGTGATGTTTCCTCCTATAGATTTCCTGATTAGCTCTACAAAATGTAGGAATTGTTGAACAAATTGAAATTTCCATTACACAGCGAACCACTTGCAGTAAAATTTGTGAAACATGTGTTTTTGAAACGTTACAGAAAACAATCGAATACAAATGAAACCCAAGAAAAATGTAATACTTGTTGGAGAAAGGAGAGGAAAATATTAAGTCGTCTTGAACTTGACTGGAAAAACATATTATCCGAAAAAGATCTTTTTCTTGTTTTCCATAACCAACTCACCAAAGTGTTCAATTTTTTATTTCCTGTTCAAAAGATCAAAACAAAAAATAAAAAGCCTTGGATGACGCAAAGAATTGAAATTTCGTCAAAAAATCTTCGCTCTTTACACCATCTGCGGAAATTCACTGATAATCCTTACTTTAATTTATATTTGAATAATTACCATATTATATATTTCAATCAAAATTATTGAAAATCTTCCGATAGAAGCGCACAGAACTCATCTATCACTAATCAATCTTTCATTCAGAAATGGCAGGTTTCCATCCTTTCTAAAATTGTCGATAGTAATTCCTTTATATAAAGGTAACTCTGTAGATGATCCTTCAAATTATCGACGAATATCCCTCATTCCTACTATTGCAAAAATAATTGAAAAACTAGTTAAGAAAAGACTCAATGAATTTCTTCTTGGCCATAACATTACAAGGAAAAATCAATTTGGATTCCAGAGCAACAAGAGCACACGACATGATGCAATATTCTCTTTCCTGTTTGAGGTGTATTCCAATATGAATCATGAAGATGCTGCTGCAGCAGTATTTTGTGACCTTACAAAAGCGTTTGACTGCGTTGATCATAAAATACTGCTACGAAAGCTGAATATCTATGAATGTAGAGGTATAACACTACGGTGGTTTGAGTCGTATTTCAATGGTTGCAGTCAGATTGTGAAAACGATTGAATGTTCAAACAGTATTGAAATAAATACTGGTGTATCACAGGGATCGGTTCTCGGTCCCATATTGTTCCTGTTGTATATTAACGATTTGATGAACATAAGTATATCTGGAACATTCACTCTTTTCGCTGACGATACCACTATATTGTGGCATAGTAAAGGTATAGATATACTCAATGAGACAATAGCTCATGATATACAAAAAATCCAGTCTTGATGTGATTTCAATCTACTATCCCTTAATATTTCGAAAAAAAATATTATGACTTTCAAATGTTCACTTCAGAATTTATCTGTAGCGAGCGGTATCATTGAGAACAGAGAGTGTACTAAATTTCTGGGGCTGTATATATAGCCAGCAATATATAGCTATCATGTAAGCATACCATTTTTCTTGGTAGCAATTTACCAGTGCTTTCATATTCTGATATGATCGCTTTTCTTGGTCAAGCCTCCCAGGTCATATTGTATATGGTCTATATGAAAATGGAGAAAATTCTGAGACACTTCCTAAGAAGATTTATACGCGAAATTTCTGAAGTGAGTCATTGATGAATCAAAATCTGTTTGTCTTGTTAATTGG